GCTTTCCGACTTCTTTAGCCTCAAGAGTCCTTATTATTTCACTGTTTCCTTCTTTCCATGAGGCCAGTTGTCCAAGACGCTGGAGGCAAGCACAGCCACCAAAGAACATCCTCGTAAGTCAATTTGGCTCCTCATAAACTACAGTGGCCGTGTTCTTGCACTGTGTTGCAATTTCCTCAAACTTTGAATGTTGGTGTGAAGATCATTAAGGAATAAACCAGCATGAGCCACTGTGGCTCTTGGGGCTTTCTGTGATTTGTTTAAACATCGTTTCCTTCTTTACTACAGAGTTCCTTTAACAACAGTGTGGACACTATTCTGCTCTTAAAATTCAAAGAAAAGGGACAGTTTTTCAGTGATTATGATATACAAGCTTATTAAATTAAATTACTAATGAAACATCTTCATTTTTGTTAAAGAAAAATTATATTTCTGAACTTTAACTCATTTCTTTTTACCTATTCTTTTTATTTTTTTGCATTATATATGTATACATATATGTATGTATATGTGTATGTATGTATGTGGGTGGGTGGGTGGGGTGCCAGTGTGTACACGTGTCACATGGGTGCCCCACAACCAAAAGTGGGCATCAATTACTATTGTTTCTGGGATCTAAACTCATGTTCTCTAGAAGAATAGAAAGTGCTTTTGAACAATTAATTCATCTCTTGAGCCCTGTTTAGCAATTTCTTAATATGCAATTATTCACTGGCTTTTAGCATAAACCCCCAACTGATAAGCAACAACCTGTAAATAAAATATAATTTCCCATTAAATCTTAGAAATGTGGGTCATTAGTGGAGAGAATGGAACCTAGATGTTTAGGAAAAACATCTTAATGATAAATTAATATTGAATAAGTCATTTTACAATCATTAAATAAAAATCCAGAATATAAAAGTATACTATTATTGTGTCTCTGAACTTTGAAGACTCGATCATTTAAATATACTTTCAATATTTGTCTTTCAATTCAAAATAATTAATATCACCACACAACAAATCATGAATTCTAGAAAATAACTCCACTGTGGCAATTTATGGTTTCTTCAGACCATCTTATGATGATTTGCTTTCCTCTTACTTTTAACTAAATTCCTCCTGAAAAGAATGACACAAAAATGGCAAAAGTCATATAAATCAAAGGAATGTGGAGAGTGTTGTTTTCTACAGTGGTTTATACATGAGTTTTATGTCAATTATCTGAATTATCTGTGCTAATGTTAGCTGTCCACATTCCTTAATCCTGATGGTCAATTATCTTCACCGTATCTACACACACACACACACACACACACACACACACACACATACACACACACACACAGCTATACTATGTATCCTTGTGATTGTTGATTTTTATTTCCCAGCAGTGTTTATTGATATCTCTGGTGTCTTTATTTCCCTAATAATTCATCCTCTGATTACTATGCTATTTGAGTTTGTTTTTCATTTTGTTTTAAATCAATCTTAAAAGTATAATGATTGATCAGACTGTTCCCATTATTGTGGAATTTTGAGATCATTTTCTTAGTTTTCTTATCACTATGTTTAAGCAAATTTGTTCTTTACACCTGTTACATTATAAAGCCAGTACTTGTGTTAAAATTAAAATATTCTACCAGATATGTCACCAAACCTGATTCTCTCATTTTCTCATTAACATAGGGCTAATAATTATACTCACTGATATTATGGGTGAAATGATTTTTGTAAAATCATCAAATAGTACTTTACAGAGAGTAAGTTTTTAGTAAATAGCATAATGCTTTTGTTAAGATTGCTTTTATTCTATTTTAAATGTAGAAAACATATGCAGGCTTATAAACTCATTTAATATATCTACAATACTGAAAATACAAAGGCACTCAACTCTCAAGATGTCCTGTCAATCTTAATTTACATAATTTTCTAAGATGAAACAAAGATAAATAAATAAATAAATAAGTAAATGAAACAAGCAGTAATCCAATTGGTATTAAATCCATACAAGCTTTACTTTTCTAAGGAGAAATCAGAAATCTTCTCATTTCGAAACATGATTTCTCTGACTAATCCAGATGATAGAACATCCAAACCAATGAAACATCCTAACATTTAGTGATGCAAATTTATCGGCATGAAAGAAAAAAAAAAAGTCTAGTTTGTATTCACTGCCTTGGTTTTGTGTAAGTGTGCTAAGATGAATTTCATGCCAAGAAAATAACATATGGCCAAAAGTACAAGGGTTTTAAAATTGAGGCCTAAGTCAAACCACCAACAAGGCTTTCTCTGATTAACAATACTTTTGTAGAAATAAAATTTTAACATTGTCTTTGGGGATTCCTTTTACAGCTGTTATTTCTTTCAAACGTATGTGATAAATACTATTAAATGAATACCGGACAATACATATTTTATATTATATATTGTGAATCTCTTAAATCATCCATCATAAGTAGAAGATCGTGCTTTTTTGGTCATTTGACCAATGCTCAAGAAAATTTTGGACATATTTGTTTTAGATTTTGTGTCATTGTTATATATTTATATGTAGGTATATAGATTTCTGTGTGTGTCATTAGACAATTTTCTTTAGATTTAGATCCAGAAAATACTGACATTGTGTTAATTGATAGAAATTACAAACTGTGGATCCTTCCAAGAAACAAACCAACTCATGATATTGTCAGGAAAACCTCAGACCTGAATACCTGGCTTTCACTCAATACTAAGAAGCAGTGCAGTGTCTAGTGAGGGCATTTAATGTCTGATGAGGAGATTTCTATAGAAAGGTGTAACAGATACTAAGTCAGAGAAGCATGAGACATTTCAGAAAAACAGAACATTGAATTTAAAATTTCATTTAACCATATACAGAAAGTTTTTCTAATCATTTGGTGATACAAGAATATAAACTTTAGGCTGAATAAAATTAATGTCTATATTGTTGATATTAAATAATTACAAATTATTTACTCTTCTAGACTGATAGCACACACACACACACACACACACACACATACACACACAGATAAAAAGAATAAGGAGGACGTAGAAGTTTAGAGATCCTCTTCATAAATCCCTGATCTCATCAATGAGAACACTGAGGCCTAAAGCAGTAACGCACATGCTCAGTGGCCACTAAAATGCCAGTGTCCTATGTTAGCTTTAGCATGAACTGAAAAGCTTTAGATTCTTTTGCTGCCATGCCTTAAAGAAATTCTAAAGAAGCTCAGCTATGAACAGAGGTAGGGGAAAAACTTACATTTTGAACTATCTTCAAATAGACATCAATTTTAAGTTTCCATCTCACAGTGAGGATTTTTGCCAACCTGGAAGAGGGATTCACTGCCGTTCCTCTATATTTGCTTCATGCACTTGGAACGCATTATAATACGATGAGTCTGCTTTCTGCTCCCTAGTGCCAAAACATTCAGGAAAAGGAAAATCAAAGATGAACTTCCACCTCTTTAAAATAGTGTAGCTCTGCTGCTCTGGCTGTTCCCCTTTGTCGCAAGCATCTAAACAAAACACAAAGGTCATTAGCTAGCAATTGTGACAAATCTATAGTGAAGCCATCAAGAGTCTAGGTGTGTTAGACTAGTGTTCAGTCAGCTGCAGTAGGTGTGAACACGAACCCAGCCTTGAATTGAATGAGATGTCTTCTTTTAAAACCACACATTTTGGGAAAAAAACTTTGTCTTCTGATATAGAATGCTAGCGTCCTAAAATTGCCTTTCTGGTGTATCTTTTTGAAATACACCAAACGAGTGAGTAAATTGAAGGATATTAAAGCAGGAGAACACAACAGAGGGAAGGCACGGAAGAAAAGATGCTCTTAAGCTGCCCTTTCCCCTAGTTATTTGTTACGCTTTCAGTGTAATGGACCAGGGGCAATTACAATAATTTTAAAAATTAAAACTCTGACATTATTATACCCGTGTTAATTTCACTAAAATGAATTGCATTTTTCCCATTACGTAATTTCACTTCTAAAGTGTTCTATCACAAAACATCCTTTCATTGAAATAAGCGAAATAAATTCTCATGTATTACCTAGCATAGTACAAATGCCAGCACTCAAATTCTTTGATTCCCTGAGATAGAAAATCTGCACACTGTAGTTGAGTTTAGATAGCCTACAGTTCACTTCTCAAGAACACGTTGAGTAATTATCTCATTCCAGAAGAACGGAAAGGGTCAAAGGCAGTGAGGGATATGGATGTTTAAGAAACTAGCCACGAACCAGCAGAGCCTGCGAATGCGCTGTTATGTGACGACAAGGTTGCTGGTGCCACAATCTGCAAAGGGCAGCTGGCGCTGTGCCAGACTCGGGGACCCGCTGCTCCTCCAACCAAGGGATGAGCTAGGGCTGGCTTCCCTTCCTCCTTCAGGGACTTCTGGTCCACGCAGGCACCTTAGGGAGAATTCTTTGCCCTAATTAACCCGGGAGAAAGACGCGCCTTTCCCGGAGACCGCTAGGCAACACTCACCACCGCAGCCCGCAGATTACTTCCCTCTGTGGGTGTGCGACTTCGTTTAAGCGAGTCACACTTACAGTAGCTTGTCACTGGCGAGGCCTCGAGCAGCAGAGGGCGGGGGAGCGCAG